TGTCTATACTTAGGACAAAATTTAATTACGTGCGCCGGATCACCACAAAATACGCACTGACCCATGTTCACGCGTTCCTGCCATAATTGTCGGTCCAAGCCCAAGTCTTCCCAGGGCCTGCCCTGTGGCAAGCCTGGGTGCCAACCTCCTTGAGGTGCCCTTCCACCTCTTCGTTGTGGGGACCGATTACCCTGGCGATTTGACGGGGGACCTTGACCCCTACCTCCCACTTGGCGGTTTCCCTGTCTGCCAACCCCCTGTGCGCCCGGTCCTCGGCCTCCCATGGTCTAGCCCCTTTGGCCCTGGCCTCCTCCTCCTCCTTGCGGCCTCCCTCCAGCCGCGACAGTAGCGTAAGACCTCCCCTGCCCTACACTACTGCCATCATCTTCAAGGCCCCACTCAATCTGGTCATATGGGACCTCATCGGTACCACCTTTTTCTAATGTGAGGATCATGTGATCCTTGGCCTTTACTTGGCCTGAGATGGTACGATTTTTCCACTTCTTCCCCTTCTCTAAGTCCTTATGCCAGAAAGTGGTAACTGGCATAGACTTCGACTCATACAAAACGACTTCGCGACTCAATTGATCGTATGTGATGCCGGCCTGCTGAGACTTGTCAAAGAAATGCCCACGTAGGGCCTCTGGAATGGCGCGATAAAACAACTGAACCAGCTGGGGCTCAGGGACCCCATGGTCCGGGACGGCTACCAAGTCGTCCATGGTACCCTTGAGTGCCTTGGCACTCCTCCACTGCCGTGAGTGGATCGTTTGAAGCTTGTCAGAGACTCTTATGCCTCTCGTTGGATCAGCGAAATGCTCCTTGAGGAGCCTGAGGAATTGAGAAAGAGGGGTGACTTTAGAATATGCAACCAGGTTGTTTTCACAACCGGCTGTACGCGCGAGAGACCTAGCGAAGCTAGCCGCTCCGTCCTTCAGGGCCTGGAAGGCCACGAGGACTTGCTCCTCCATCAGGATATGCTGTAAATAAATGTAACTATTGACACTGGTCTCGCAGTTGTCAAAGTTCTCGTCCTTCTTCCCCCCGTACGCGTCTGGGAACTTAAGTTTCACTGGGTCCTTACGGGGTCTGGCCTCTCCTTCTACAGCGGCTGCAGCTTTGGCACCCTGAATGGCGCCCTCACAAAACTTCCCTACGTTGTCTCTCAATTGCTTGACTTCACCCCCAATATAGGTAACGATTTCGCGCGCAAAATCCCTGAACCCGGACCGCATGACACCTAACGCTACATCCTGGCTCCAGCTTGACTGGCGCTCCTCCATCCAGGCCTTGCACAACACCTCTAGATAGCCGAGTACTTTGTCCCACTTGGCCTTATCATCTGGCTGGGCCAGCACCTCCGCTCTACACTCCTGCACCTTTGCCATTGCGGCGGTCATCTTATTCACTTCCTCTCTCCTCCTCTTCTTCTCCCTCTTCATTCTCAACTTCCATGCTTACTTTTGCTCGTTTTCCCTCTATCTTCGTTCCATTGGGTCTGTCATGGCCGCTAGCTCAGCGGCCAGCGCAGCCTTCTCATCCTTAGTCACATAGGACTCCGCCTCCTCGTCTTCCCCCAAYGATAAATTAGCGACCCACTCGCTGATCTTCTTCTCCAGCTCAGTATTTGTCTCCCACTTCATCGTGCCACCACTACTTCCTTCCCCATTCTCAATTATCATCCTCTCTTTCTCTTCTTCTACTGCCGCTTCTGCTTCAGCAGCCTTCCTTCTTTCTTCCTCCTCCTGTTGTACCCTCTTCATCTCCTCCTCCAATCTCTTCATCTTCGCCGCCTGCTCGTCTGCTATAGCCTTTAGCTTGGCTTGCTTTTCACGCTCTTTCCTCTCCTTATTCTCTCTGACTAAGGCGGCCATTTTTTCTTGCTGCTCAGTGGTGTAGGGGCTAGTCTCCTTCCCACTACGGGTCTCAACCATGGTGATAAGTGTACAACCGGGTTAGTGGTTCCAAACCTCACTACGTAAACGTCAACCCCTGACCGACAGACCTACAGACTCAATCTAAGACTCACAGAATCTTGACAGGGATCTTGTCAACTATGGTCTCTAGCCTAGACCTACAATATGGCTGTCACTACTCAACCAGTGGCTGATCAGAAGGCATTTAAGGAGATCCCCCGTAACTCCTCAAGAATTHTTTAACGTCGCAGACAGGACGACGTGATCAGCTTGGTTCTGCCTGTGCTTTCAGCCCACAACTCAGCCTTTCCGGCCTAATGTGCCACACCGAGCAGCCCGCCGGTCTGTACCGGTCCTTGGGAGGGCTCGTATCCCCCGGGACAGTCGAGTCGTCAAACACAGATCATCAGCCTTACTTGGTCTGGAAGGGGAGTGGTTCCAACAGGCCCTCAACACTTAAAGACGGCCTTCGTTTCAGCTTGCAGCTCAGAGTTCGGACCCCCTACACTGAAACTGAGCAGACCTGCCGGACAGTACCAGTCATTGGGCTAGACTAGTTGTTTAACGAGCGCTCACCGCTCATGCCCAGGTCTCCAGATACCAGAGTAGAGATT